ACCAGGAGAGCCAGGATGAAACCCTGTGACCTCAAATCTCTGCTGAACTTGAGTGGCCACCCAACGGAAACCCTTTAAATGCCCTTTCTCCTGAGGGCACAGGTTTCCTCAGCTAATGGTGGGATCTGCTGCAGGTTTTTCTGGGTGTCCCTGCACCAAGAGGTGTTGGAAGGGGAGAGGAGCTGTGTCCTGAGTTCAGCTGTTGCTTCCCCATGGGGATGCAAAGGGGAACAGCACAGGGATGTTCACACAGGGCCCACAAATCACCACCAAAAGCCTTTTTCCTGTCATTTCTCCCCTGCTCCCAGGCAGCAAACCCCATGGAGCAAAGGGACGTGTCTTGGCCACGGCCTCAGCAATGTGCTGACCCTATCCTCAGGGCTCTGAGAGCAATAAATGATAAAACCCCCCAAACAATCCTTTCCTGCCACCTGCAACCACAGCTGGACATGCTGTGCACCCGCTTGGCATGGGGCTCCTGCCAAAACCAGCCAGCCAGCCAAGGAATTGTCTCACCTCTGCCCCTCCCTGCACCCCAAGGGCAAGCAAAACCCAAAACCCGAGGCAGGCGTCGAACCCCAAGCCCCTGTGGGTCCTCCCTGGCTCTGTTGTGCCTGGGGCTGGCTTCCTGCACAAAGCAGCATTGAGACTGGAGATTGCAGTTTAAAACTAATCCATTTAAAGCCAGACCTGGGTGAAGTCCCTCACTGCGGTGAGCAAGGGATGCATGCTGGCACATCGCCTGGGTGCGTGTTGCTTTGCTCTGAAATGCCAAGCCTGTGTTTGACACCTACCTGTAACCAGGGCCATCAGCCAGAGTTTCACCAGGAGCCCCCAGAGTCTTGTGCAAAGATCAGCCATCTTTCACTGCAAAGGGCTGGGAAAAATCCAGTCTTTGGCCTTTGCTTCTGTAAAACACAGCAGTTGCTCCAACCGGCTTGGCCTCTGTACCTAAAAATGGCAAAGCTGCTGCTACACAAGACGGCCCCTTTCCTGCTCATGTAAATCCTCCCCAGTGGGGATTTTCCCCTCAGAGCTGGTTTTGAATGCAGCGCAGACGCTGGGGCGGTTGGTGCCTGCGCCCTGGGCACTGTCCAACCTCGTGTTTCCAGGCTGTGCTGGTCATGGTGCTGTTATTTGATGGAGGTGACCACAACTGGTGTGGGTCTGCACAAGAACTGGACATGAGCCCATCGGCAAAGCACTCAGCAATGTAAAACCTGACCTGAGCACAGGGGATGTGTCCAGGGGTGGGATGGAACCACCCACACTGCCACATCCCTGGGGGAGTAGAGGATGGGGCCCCCAGGGTCATACCCCAGCTCCACAGGAGTGTGGGCAGATTCCCCCCAGTTTAGCTCTGCAGGGGATGGTCAGGGGCTGATTCTGGCTGAGTTGCAAGAGCAGGAACGCTGTGGGAAGAGATGTTTGTGGGGTTTCTCCTTCACCTTGCTCATTGTGAGGTGCAGTGGGATTGATCCCGCAGCTCCTGTCCCCAGCATCCCAGAGGGTCCCTGCAGCTGCCCTTCTAGGGAAGGGTCAAATCTAGTAGAGAAGATAGATGGCCAAAACAAGGTCTCACCTCCCTTGGTGCCAGGCATGCCAGCTCCTTCACCCTCTGTTTGACATGACCAAGACTCTCCTCTATGAGTCTTTTGGAGACAATGATTCCCTGGGGAAGCATAACACGGCACAGCATGGTGAGCTCTGTCCCCCTTTGCTCTGATGCAGAAATATGGTTTCCCTCCATGCCGTGCCCTCCGGCTGCTGCGTGTTACCCACTGAATGCAAGCACTGAACTGTAACTCCATGTGAAAAACACCTTTGGGTACTTTTGCCAGCAGTGTTGGTCCCCAGTGTCTCTGCCTGGGGCCTCCCCAGCCTTTACCTTCTGCAGGTTTGGAGTTTTTTTTTGCCGGTTCTGAGCATCCGGTGGCTGCAGGGAACCGGCCTGAGCTTCATCTTGTATGTGAGGGGACATGAAGCAAGAAATAAAGGTTTTCAGAGAAAGACTGTCACCAGGGGGGAAAGAGATGATGGGAGAGGTGCCTTCTCCTGGTAGAGCAGACAGGTAGTGCCATGCACGGTGCTGTACGTTAGGGCTGTGCTGCTGAGTCCCTGCTGCCATCTCCTCTGGTCTTGCTGGAAAAGCACAGCCTGGCTGTGACATCCTGGGGATGCCCATGTGCTCGGCAGGCACTGGAGGGATTTTTATCACCCCCTGGAGTTGAAGATTGGAGCTGTGATGAGCGAGGCAGGGATACTGGAGGTGCCTGGGAAAGCCCCATAAGGCAAAACCAGGAGCAGGGCACAAACTACAGAGTGTTCACAGTGACGGTGGCCAAATTACCCCTCTGTGCTGCCTGCAGGCTCCCAGACAGACACAGACCTGCTCCAGAGGGGCTCGATCTCCCCTTAAAGTCCCTTGTGCTTGCAGTACTTGGTGGCATGGGATGTAAGGAGACCTGATGGTCTCATGGAGAGGGTCCCATGTCCCCATGTCTCTCCCCTGGGCCACCCTGGGTCCCCAGCCCGCAGCACATGGCCAGACCATGATCTGTGGGCAGAGCAGAGCCCCTGACAGGCTGCTCATTCTTCCCTGGCCCATTCCTATTCATCAGGGCTTGGGTTTCACTGCTGTCTTTTCCCTTGCTGTGGGAGGACAGGGATGGTGGGTTGTGACACCTCCTCCCTCCAGCCTGCATGGTACCATGATGCTCTCAACTTGAATTACACCAGCGCTGGGACAAGCTGTTCCAGAGAGAGTGAAAACACAATGGCAAGGCTGTGCTGTGGCCCTTGGGGACATCAGCAGGTCCCGGAGGCGGCTCCTCCTCCAGCCACACATTGACGCAGAAACCTCCTTTGCCCACCGCTGCCCTCTCCCCATGATGCTGAACTGCTCTCATGTGACCGATGGGGCAGGTTTGGCCCCACAGACTCTGGCATGGGGCAGCTTGGGGGTCTGCACCTCCTCCAGGCCCACCTCTCTCTTTGGTTGAACCTGCAGCAGCATCTCCTATAGCTCCTAGAGCCAGGGCTCACTGCTGTGAGGCACCAAGGACTCCAGGGAACTTGTTCATGAGCAGAGCAGAGGCTCTGGGCTCTAGACTGGGTTGGAGGTGCCAGGGGGAGGAAACCCAGAGGGTCTTTTGCGCAGGATGGGAACACCAGGTCTTGCTCAGGATGGCAGGTCCAGCCAAGGACATGAACAGGGGCTCCCCATATCTGCCCTGGAGCAAGGGGAGGGGGCATTTACATCTCTCAGGGGCAGGGAAAACATTTTTTTCCTCAAACACACACCAACGCATTTGATATCATAATAATAGATCATTTACAGTTGTTTATTTTAAGAAATGTACAAAGAAAAATGGCTTTAGCTCACACAAATCTTGCTCTTTGGCATTTTTCCCATAACTGACGACACATACTTACAAGCAGCATTGATTGTGAATCACAATCTGGGCTGGAAACTACAGCGCCGTTGATGCTTCCCACACAAACGCCATGTAAAGCAGCTCAGGGTCCTGTTCCAGGGAGCATCACCCTACGCAACACGGAAACGAAAGCGCAACGCTACGGGATGAGCAGAGCAACCCTGGCTCTGCCACCTGGCCGACAGCACGTGGATGCAAGCAAGCTCAGCACCGCTCCTGGCCAGCCTGAACGTGGGGCATCCGTAACAGCTCAGCGCCAAAATCAGCCCAAGAAAAAGAAAAAATATAATAATAATAATAATAATACAAAAAGACAGACCATTTGGCTTCAAGAAGCAGCCCTTGTTTTAACTGGAAGACATTTTGGTTCATGTTTGTTTTGATCTCATGAGGTTTTTTTCCCTTTTGAAGGCAGAAGATGGTCCAGAGATGAACCTGGGGCCTTTTATACTTTTGTCTTGATTTACTTTCCTTTTCCCCACCTGTGTAAAGAGCAGCTAAACCCTTCCTGCCCTGGGAAAATGCTCCTCTGCTGTGAGGCTTCCTGGTGAGGACCTGCCTGGCCCCATCAGCTCTGCAGAGACCCCAACACGTGCCACCGGGTCCTCTCCAGAGACCCAGCCAAGGGAAGGAAAATTTGCCCAAGTATTTTGGGATTTACACCCCGGTGGGAGCATTCAGGCTCCTGGTGCTCAGTGGCCAGTGGGATTTAAGGGACGCCGCTGAGGCAGCTCATTGCAAGGACCGTTCAGACACCTGCTTGGATCCCCGGGGATGTGTCTCGTTAATTAACGCTAACCAAGAGCACTCCAGCGGGACATTTCCTCTTGCTACGGGGCTTGAAGAAACCCTAGAGGGTTTTGTTACAGGGACTGGGGATTCTTGGATGAGGTTTTCCAAACCCTACCTTTGTCCATTGCTTTCCTGAAACAAAATCGGGATGAAACAGGAAAACAGAGAAGAAACATAACTATAAATACTGTTTACATTCATACTGCGGAGACCTGAATGATTTATGATTTCAATACATATTCAGAGACCTTTAAAACCTGATATTTAACCCTGAGAACATATCTGCAGATCCTTTGTTTTGGCTATGCAAACAAATCTTTAAGACATAATTGCACTTTCTTTGTATATAACAAAAAAATAATCCATAAATCTTATTCAAATATTCAAAAGAAAGGTGCTAATTTAAGACATTGGAGATTTTTGTTCACAAAACCTTGTCTTTTCTGTAATTACTCTTAATATTATTTCACTTGGCTCATCTTTCACTGGCTACTTGGCTGCACTCTGGAAGAATAATATACAAGAAAATCTCTTAATTGTGAAATAACATTAATAAATAATTACTTTAAGTAAAAGGACAGCCATACTCCTTTGTTAATGTCTGAAAAATATCGTTACCATGACGAGATCATTTCAAAACTAAAATGTTTCTCTTTCACCAACAACAGATTTCACATTTAATTCTCATAAGAAAAATAATTATTAAACTCTTTGCAAGTGCAGTGAGCTGTAAAAACCAGGATCAGTAAGAGATCCTGCTTCAGAAGTTAAGGTGTCTACTTGAAATATCTGAAATTAGCTCAGTGTCTAAGATCCACTGATCTGTAGATGGAAGAGCTCTGAAAAGCAGGTACAAATGAAGTCTTTTCAGGCTGGGCAAGAGATGGAAGCCTCTTTCTGTTATACCAGCGACTCTTTCACAACGCGTTCCTTATCCCATGCTTTTGCTTCTCCAGGAGCATCTTGTGTTTCTGAGCTGGGAACGGGTGCAAGATCAAAGGCAGGGGCTGTCTCCACATCTGTCCCACTGTTCCCATACATCTCGTTCATTTTGGTGGCGATCAGACCTTCCTTCTCAGGTGCGTCCTCCCTCAGGGCATCTTCATCCTTACTGTGCCTGTACATGTAGGAGGCCTGCTTCACCGAGCGCCTCAGGAGGTACCTCCGGAAAGCCCTCTGGATTTTTGTAGCACAGACTTCCTCGTGTTTCCTTTTCAGAGTGGTGGTTATGGGTTCATAGGAAACCTTTGAGGGGTTTGCAGCCATGAACTTCTCCTCCATGGTGGCCTTCAAGGCATCCATTTCTCCTGAGTCTCCCAGCACTTCCTTAGTCAGGGCAAAGAGGATATCCAGACAGTGGATTTTGTCACCAGCAACCATTGGTAGATCCATGGTGATTAGCTTGATCTTGTTTGGCTTGGGAATTTTGAGTGGCTCCTGTAAGGTGTCTACAAAGTCAGACAAAGTGCTGTATGCAATGAACTGCGTGGCATCCGGGTCAAACTTCTCCCAGATTTCATAAAACATTTCAAAATCATCTTCACAGAGGGGTTCGCTGCTCTCCTCCGTGGCCACACTGAAGTTCTCCAGGATGATGGCGATGTACATGTTCACCACAATGAGAAAGGAAATGATGATGTAGCTGCAGAAGAAGAAGATGCCGATGGATGGATTGCCACAGTCCCCTTTTACTGAACTGCCAGGGTTTTCCAGGTGGGGGTCACAGTCAGGGGGACCGCTGTTCAGGATCGGGCTGAGGAGGCCATCCCATCCAGCCGATGTGGTGATCTGGAAGAGGCAAATGATGCTGTTCCCAAAAGTTTCAAAGTTGAACATGTCATCGATCCCCGCCTCCTTCTTCACATAGGCGAAGTTGGACATCCCAAAGATGGAGTAGATGAACATGACGAGGAAAAGCAAAAGACCAATGTTGAACAGGGCGGGCAGGGACATCATCAGAGCAAAGAGGAGAGTTCGGATGCCTTTTGCCCCTCGGATCAGCCGGAGGACACGGCCAATCCTTGCCAGCCTGATGACCCTGAAGAGGGTGGGTGATACGAAGTACTTCTCTATGATATCTGAGAGGACGATACCTGTGAAGGGATGAAGAAGAGGTGAGTTCGCCTTGCTCTGCAGCCAATGCAAGGAGGTGAGGTGGAGCTATTCTGCTCCATCTGACAGAGTTGGGCAGATACAGGGAGATGAGGCCACCCCTGATGGTTCACAGCTCTCTGCTCCTTTGGTGGCAAAGGGAACATATTAAAAATGTCTCAGCACAGACCCAAAGGTTAAATTCTAGCTGCTCTGTTTCCGCGGTGCAGCCATGCAACATGGAGACAAGGGGAACCTAACACCAAGGAGGAGTGAGACACATCCCCAGCCCCTCATCCAGCCTGGTGGCATGAAGTGACCTCACATCTGTCTTGTCATAGGGTCCTGTTGGCTTGGCCCTGCTCATAGGGTGGAGGGTCACCAGTGACAGCTTGGTGGCTGTGGATCGACTAGATCATTTCCACTCTTCATTATCCAGTGGGACCCCTGAGGAACTGGTGGGACCAACAGGACTCACCTAAGATGGAGAGGATAACCACCACAAAGTCAAAGATGTTCCAGCCAATAGTGAAGTAGTAGTAACGCAAGGCGAACATTTTGAGTACACACTCTCCAGTGAAGATGACGATGAAGACCAGGTTTATCTTGTAGAGGACAGATGTTTTGAGTTCACTTTGATCATCTGTTTCGACCATCATGGTCACCATGTTAAGACAGATCAGGATCATGATGGTTATGTCAAACACTTGCTTGGTAACAAAGTCAAACACCATCCCTTGAAACTTGTTCTGCCGTAAGGACCACGTGAGTGATGATGGAGAACCAGAGGTGAGGTGGGAACACAGGACAGACACACATAAAACAAAAGACACAACAGAAAGTGAAGGAACTGTATTTAAAACAGTGTAGGAAACCTCAGGGTTGTGGCCAGTTCACAGGTCTCATGGCCCCAAAAGCTATGGGAGAAGGATACCTTGCAGGATGAAGCCCATTTGGTAACACCAAGGTCAGGAGGTGTGGGCTCAGGGGACAGTTGCTTTCTACTTATATCTGCAGCTAATGCACCAGGGCAAAAATATACACATGGAAAAGGCCTTACTTGAGCAGGGCATTCAAAACTAATCCCAAGTCACAACTGTGTATATACTGGCTGAACCAGTGTCCCTTCTAGGAGTACTGAAAGCTGAGCTTTCCCCAAGTCTAACTCCCTTCTAGAGAGGAGCTGGGAGCTGAGCTAGAAGACCCAAATTCCTGCAAAAGGGACCCCCCCCCCCCCCCC